AAAGAAAACATCTAAAAGCTAACTCTGCTGAGCTAAAAGTGTTAAAAGTCTTTGCTAGGTCATGGGTCCCACATCAAGAAACAAACAAACAGAACCAGACCTTCTGAGGCAAAATACTTTATCCTTCACGTGGAGAGCATTGAAATCTGCCCCACAAACACGGCTGAATGAATAAACCAAGTAAATTCACATGTACCTTTTATCCAATCAACAAAAATACATTTTGCATATTCTAGTTTCTAAGCTTAAGATCTAAGCATCCAAATTTGAATAAAACACAGATTCTACCTACCCATTGGCAGTTTTCAGTCTTAACTTACTAATCACAATTTACTAATTGTGATTAAATTTCTTTATTTCAGATATAATGTTAATAATACTATACAAGCTTTCAAGCAAGACTTTAAACCTGAGTTGCATGTAGCCATGATATAGATATATTACTAGATAATGGAACATTCCCAGGTATTTATTGTTGTAAGTTTTATTATCTATATAAGCCAATTAGAAATCTGGAATGCAGAAAAAGCAACCTCAAAGGCAAGATTTAATTTTGGACTAAAAAAGGAAAAGAAGAAAAAGTTCTGTTTCACCAACCTCTTATCCATATCTGACCTTTCACTGAAATCGCATCTCTTCTATAAGCCATATTTTAAAATCTCAGCCTAAATGGACCTCTTCTTTTGTAATCTGCATAATTAGCATGTTAATATGCTCCACCTGCATTTTAATCCAATGGTTGTTATTCAGAGTGCACTTCAGAATCACCTGTGGAGTTTAAAAAATACACAGTTTCAGGCTGCAACATCACAAACTTATTCAGTCAAGGCAGGAACAGTCTAGCATCTGTATTTTTAAAACACAACACACATAACACTCGCAGTTAAGAACAACGGTTCAAATTACACTAGACGATTTGGCATCTTATAATGACACATAATCTATTTGTGCATTTATATGATCATATCCCCAAGTGAACTGAATTGTCTTACATAGAACTTTTTCTGCACTAGTAAGAATTTCCACACTTCTTGTTTGAAAAAATAACAAAGAATTTCAATGACCTCTGTATAATACTATCATATCTGTTTTTCTATTCATATTCTTTAAATAGTGGTGGGAAAATTTGATCATGAACAAACATCATGTATTCATCTTTATTTAATACTGCTTTTCAGAAAGTTTCAGGGCAATTCCTAGAGACTTTCAGAGAAGGATGCTCTTCCTAGCACAGTGCAGTGAAACTTACCTTGGTTCAAATCCAAATTCTCTTCTCATTTGTCCTATGGTGAGGAGAAAAACAAAAGATAAAAGTTGTAAAGGGCACGCCATTAGTAAACTCAGTGCGTTGCAGGATAGCTTATAGAATATGAGGTGTTAGGGAAGTCTCTTGGCCCAGAGAACTTCCTCAGCATCAGCTTTCATGCCTGACATCCTGATAATCAGTTACTCCAGAGATGTCCCATCTAGTCATAGAACGTCAGGTGGAGAGGCCTGCTGAAATAACTAATCCCACAGTCTTCATTTTTATTCATGCTTCTTACTTCTGATCAATGGTAGGAGCTCAGGAGAGGTTGTCAACTATGGTGACTCTGGATTTGATTTTTTTTTTCTGCCAAAAGCTTTATTGTTTCCATTTGGTCCGCTGCCTGGGAGAGGGCTTCAGGGTGGTTAAAAGAATAGCTAGTAGTTTCAGGAAGAGGCTCGGGTAAAAGCCAGACACCAGGGGAACGCAGAGGGGCCCCAAAGGCCTGACGGTGAGCCTTTCTAAGAGATACTCTAGCTTCAGCACGTCCTGGAGGAGAATGCGGCCACCGAGCTGGTTTTGCTACTTTCAGAGCCGCTCAGCGCCCTCGGCTTCTTCTCTGCCGACTCCCAGAAGAGGCCCAGGCCTCCAGCGCCACACCGTCACGGTTGGAATAGAAGCCTCCAGAGAGGTAGGTGTGGGGCCGCAGAGGCAGGTTGGCCAGGCGGTTGACGGCAGCCTCCACCGCGGGTGTGGGGTAACTCTGACGAATTTGGGAGCCATGGTTGTGCGGCAATCAGGAGTTAAGGTAGGAAAAACCTGGTGTCTTGGCTGGTTCTGAAGGTGGTGACTGGGTAAGATGCAGGAGAGTGGCCGGAGGCTGGAAGAAGGGGCATCCTTGGGTCTGTTCCGTCCAAACACACTGTTGAAGCAAGAGACAGATCTGGGACTGCAGGGCACTCCAATTTATACACTTTTGCCATGGTTGTGCGGCAATCAGGAGTTAAGGTAGGAAAAACCTGGTGTCTTGGCTGGTTCTGAAGGTGGTGACTGGGTAAGATGCAGGAGAGTGGCCGGAGGCTGGAAGAAGGGGCATCCTTGGGTCTGTTCCGTCCAAACACACTGTTGAAGCAAGAGACAGATCTGGGACTGCAGGGCACTCCAATTTATACACTTTTGTGGCGTTCAAGTGTTCTGTCTTGCAGAGCTGTTTTAAGGGTCAGTGAAAGAACACAGGGAACCCCAAATACACTGCCTACCGTAAACTAGGCACTTGTTATTATCATTAATGTAGTAGTGGTAGTAATAGTAGTAAAAAGTCAGTTAACTTCTAGTTTAGTTAGGTGCTCTTTGCCCCTTAAAATGCACAGTACTTATTAAAATATAGCTATACTAACTAGGAAGAATAAAAAAAGTTAATGTTGTGTTGGTCAGTGTGGCTCAGTTGGTTGGAGTGTAATCCCATACACCCAAAGTTTGCAGGTTCAATTCTGGGTCAGGGCACTTGCCTAGGTTTCAGGTTTGATCTCTGACCAAGGAGTGCATGGAAAAGCAACTGATCCAAACATCCCTCTCACAATGACGTTTCCCTCTCTCCCTCTCCCCCCTCCTTCCCCCCCTTTCCCTCTTTCTGGTAGCAATAAGCATGTCCTCAGGTGAGGATTAGAAAAAGCAAAGAATAACAACACCCAGTTACTGTTGGCCAGAAAACAGGAAGGGGGCATATCATCCTCAGGTGTATGTTGTTACAGAGTCAGACCTTCATCCAGATTCAGATTTTCTCACTATGAGAGTAGCCCAATGCTCTCCATCTCTCTAAGCTCTCCATCTCTTTTGTTTCTTTAACTGTAAAATGCGGAAAATAAAATACCTCTCTAATTGGGTTATTGTGAAGAAGTCATTATACATGAAAGCATTTCAAAGTCTCTGGCGAAGAGCAAGCTTCCCATAAACGTTATTTTATTATTATAAACACTTCTTATTTATAGATACGGTTACCATAATTTGTCATGCATACTGGGGACACATCCGAGAGTGAATGGTGGTGCTATTAATAACTGTGCTGGGACAGCAGGCATAATAAACCAGAATGCATGGTCACCTTATCGGCAATATATTTTCTAGCTGAAAGCAAGTTCCCAAGGGAGTATTATATTGTGCGCGGGAATTTACATGGAACTTTTTGGAAAGATGTTATGTATGGGTCAGATTCAACATGGGCAGAAAAGCATGGTGCGCCTCCATCAAAACTCCTCTGAGACAAAATAGACGGAGGCCTGGTGTCTCTCTGGTATTCATACCTCAGCTGAAGTCTCTCCCAAGTTCTCTCTGAAAGCAAGGTCCTGGGAAATGAGCTTCCATTCAACATTTTTAAATTTTACTTTAAGTATTTTCAAGAGAAGCTTTCTGATATATCTCACACAGTTCCCTGCCTCGTTAAAAAAACATATACATTGTAATGTATACTCTCTAAGTAAGTCCTTTTAAAATAAAAGTGCGTATAAAGAAAACAAACTTCTCTTCTGAACCACCTCTATCCCTAACCACTCATCCAGCCATACATTTATCCCTCCTTTTATTTTCGAACAAATTAGAATTTTAGGAGGGAACAAATAATCATGGTCCTAGGCTGGCCCATTCTGCTCCATTCCACCCCATTTCATTCTACAAACAGTTATTGGAAGCCCACTATTCATCAGCGCTCTCACCGAAAAAACTGAACTTTTCTTCTAATACACGGAGGTGATATTAGGAAGGACAATGACAATAATTCTTCAGACCAGGGCTCCAGAAAGATCCGTTCGGGTATGGCGGGTGACATTTACTCTCCTCAGGAACACCGTGTCCCCTGCTTATCAGAAATCATGTGAATATTTATCCCATTCCCTCAACTACATATATTTTCTTATTAATGGATTTTAGTTTCAGTTTTTACTCTGTAATACAGAAATGCATAACCTTAAGTTCTGGTGCTATAAGACATACAAAACCATGTGCATTTGAGAATCAAGGCATTGCTGCTATGCTGCTACAGTGTAGAATTAAACAAAAAGTCTCTCACATGTTTGACATTAATTTCACGTTCCATTTGCTTTCCATCAGATGCAAAGAGCTGCTTAATCCACTTAAGCATTTCTTTTTGGGCCCCTAATGAAGTGTTCTGTTCCTGTCTTGTAAGTCAAGTGCATACATGACATCACAAATGGTTTATATTCTACGAGGGACTCACCTCCATGGTTTAAAATCTTGGACCCTCCAAACAGTCAGTGTCCACTTTATTCCAGCTTTTAGTTTTTCTATCACACATCCTCACCTATAGTCCCAGATGAGCAGAACAACTGTAAAGCATTATGCAATTACACATATGGGCATCTATAAGGCATTCCCATAAGGGATATCAATTCGGCTCATGGCAAATTTAACCACCATAGCAGCTGTCAAACATACTCAAAACAAAATAAATTATCCATCCAACCTCTTGTACTTAAGTGCTTTTTATATTCTGTGTTTTAGAAAAACAGTTTAGCTTTAAGCAGCATTCAAGCTAGGATCAGGCTCTCCTGAGGAAGTTTTTTATGAGATTGAATGAAGATAATGACAACCATTAGTCATCGCATTAGCATGAGGCATGAGGCACACTACAATATTTATAAGCAGCTAAGCCATGACAGTAAAATTATGACATCCTATAACGCGGGCAGGCTTTTGACTGCAGCTGACTGCTATTTTGTAAAGTGGAACTGGTCTACTCTGGTAGTAGTATATTTAATGGCATGCTCATCATAAGACCTAATTGTTTTCCACCACAGGGTACGAAGCTTTATGTCCTCTATCAACCAAAACCAAATAGTCATACTGCTTAATGGCTATTCAATTAATGTTTATGTGCTACTTTTACACCCTGAATTATTTGATGAATAAACTCAAAGAAGCTATTTGAGAACTAAGTTTCATGGAACCTCTACTCTTATTAAAAATCCCCAGGTTCTTAGAGTAGTTCAAACTATCAGCTAGGGAATACAGACCAGACATTGATATTTAAAAATCTTCTACACTTCCATAAGAATGACAGAAAAATCAAATATTGGAAGCAAATGGTCGATGTAGGTAGAGCCTTGCTGCATTCAAATTGAAGATCAAAACAGGGTTAAAATAGAAATAACCTGGTCAGACTAAGTCAAAAGGTGAGGCTTGGTTCATTATACTAGAAACGCTCAGCTTTTGTTTTGATTGCTTTGTTAGCTTGTAACTCCAAACCTATTGATATTACTACTTTCCTTCTATAAGACATAGCACGGCAGTAGCTGATTGTATAAATTCAACACCCTTCCTTTGGTAGAAGTTTTGTAAAATTACTGAAAATATATTTTTGCTGAAAGACTGCCATTTTTGAATTTATGAAAAAAATGATTTCTGGTTTTTATAGTTATTTGAATATGGCAGAAATATATTTATTTACTCTTCTCCATTCTAATATAAGAGATCTGATGTCTCCAACATGTGGGCAATTAATAATACCTCTTATTGTTCCATGTTAGTTGGCACCATTAGACAAAGAAAAAAGGCAGGCAGGCAGGCAGGGGAGGAGAGGGGAGGGGAAAGGAAGGGAAGGAAAGGAAAAGGAAAAGGGAAAGGAGAAAGACCACAAGAACTGAGGGAATGAGAGAGAGTATTCATTTCCTTTTGGAAATTAAGGCTACTTTCACACCATGCGTGGTACTTACAAGTGCTAATGTATATATTTCAGTGGAACTGTGGCTGCCCTCTTCTCCCTGTCCTATGGTTGCAGTGGTCGGCAAACTCGTTAGTCAACAGAGCCAAATATCAATAGTACAACGATTAAAATTTCTTTTGAGAGCCAAATTTTTAAAACTTAAACTATATAGGTAGGTACATTGTTATTAACTTAATTAGGGTAATACTAAGGCTTAGGAAGAGCCACACTCAAGGGCTGATAGAGCCGCATGTGGCTCGTGAGCTGCAGTTTGCCGACCACGGGTAACATATCAACTTGTCATTCATAAAAAGGGATAAATCAGATAGCAAGCTTAAAAATGTCAAAACATTCTTGACAAATTTCCACTAAGAATACAACTGAGAAATGACAAACTTATCACCTGGTTGGTTCAAATTTAAAGCTAACTGCTTTTGGATGTAAGCCAATAAACCTTTCATATTTTAGTTTATTTTGTATTTCTTTTAAAAATATTTTATTGTTGACAGTATTACAGATGTCTCCCATTTTCTCCCTTTATTTTGTATTCCTTGTATATATTTG